CACACAGCTCTAAAAAACCTTTGGAATCGCTGTATCTTTTTGCACACTACTGAGATGATGAGGCTGGGGCTCCTAGATAGCCCCATGATGGGGGCTGATTGCCAGGGGAACCAACCACAGGATTGGAAAACTTGAACTTTAAGCCCTATCCTCCCCTACACTTCTTGGGCAAGGAGAGGGGCTGGAAAATGAGCTCCATCACCAATGCCCAATGATTTGATCAATCATCTGCTACACAAGGAAGCCTCTATAAAAAAAAAGAAAGAAAGAAAACACCTAGGATTTGGATAGCTTCTAAATTGACGAACACACGGAGGTGCTGGGCAGGTGGTATGCTCACAAAGAGTATGGAAGCTCCAAGCCTCACCTCCCATGCCTTGTCCAATATATCTCTCTATCTGGCTGTTAATGTGTATATTTTTAAATATCCTCTTCTGTAATAAATTGGCAATAGCAAATGAACTATTTTCTGGAGTTCTGTGAGATCCCAAAATATTAATTTTTTGGTTTTTTTTATTAATCCTCATTGAGGATATTTTTTCCATTGATTTTGAGAGAGAAATATTAATGTGAGAGAGACACATCGATCAGCTGCCTCCCACACAAGCCCTGACCAGGGTCGGGGATCAAACCTTTAACCCAGGCATGTGCCCTTGACCAGGAATGGAACCTGAGACCCTTTGGTAGACTGGCCAATGATCTAACCACTGAGAACACCGGCCAGGGCCCAACTTACTATTGAACCTGAGAGGATCACAGTAACCCTCAATTTATAACCAGTCAGCCAAAAGCACAGGTGTCGACCTGGACTTGTAAATGGCACCCAAAATGGGAGAGGGCAGGCTTATGGGACTGGGCCCCTAATTGGTGGGATCTGTGCTGACTGGTTATTGTCAGAATGAGTTCAGTTGTAGGACGTTCAGTTGGTCTCTGCAGAGTATTGGAAAACTGTGTGGTGTGGAAAAGGCATCCTAATGGGTGTGAAGTGGTAGCAATGATTAAATTTTTATTTATGAAAGAAATACATATTTATTGTTACAAAACCAGAAAGTCACTTTTACTCCCATCCTAATTCCACTTCCAAGACCACACAGTTAACTATTTGGTCTGTTTCCTTCACATTTTGTTTCTCAGGACCAAAGGTCGTTCTCTCTCTGTTCAGTTTTATGCAGACATAAGGAGATTCTACCAGAAAATTCTTAATATTGCAAAAGAATACTAGGCAGAAAAGCTATTAGTCAGCTCATGCCAACTGAAGGGACAGCCTTGCACATTAGTAGCCTGATGGAAAAATGGACAAGTTCTTTATCAGGTATAAATATTACTTTAATCTCTACAGCTCTTACACACAATACCTGGCATTCAACCATTCAACCCCCCCCCCCCAAAAAAAAAAATACAAGGCAAGGAAGGAAGCAAGAAAATGTAACCCAATGTCAAAAGAGGAAGTAGTTAAGTCAAGAGACCCATACCTAGAAATAACCCAGATATGGGACTGGAGAGATTGGACAGAAACCTAAAAAAGGTGGCCAGCATGCATAAACTGAAGGGAATTTCAGCAAAGAATGGGAAACTATTAAAAAGAGACAAATGGATATGCAAGAATGGAAAATACAATAATGTTGAAGACTTCAGGAGGTCACCTTTCATATGCAAACCAACCAATCCTTTTACTGAATTCCCACCAGCCCAATATTTCCCCTGTCCTACATCACCCCAGGGCCAGGTACCAGACAACCAAAAAACACTCCTATAGCCCAGTGCTCACCAATATTATTCAAACTAGCCAATCTTGATTCCTGACCCAAACCTGATGTTTCCCCACATGGATCTTTATGGCATGACCTGGCTCATTCTCTCAGAAACTAAGTAATAAAAATTCTCTTCCAGTGTCATCAGCCTCACCATCTTGTCCCTCAGTCACTTCCATCAATTAAAATCCTGCAGGTCTCTCTGAAACAAGTATCAAATAGTCTAACATTATACAATCAGAATCCTAGAATGTGAAGAAAGAACAGAAGAACGATTTGAAGAGATAATGGCTAAGGTTTTCCAAAACTGATAGGAAATATCAATTCGCATACCAAGAATTTCAATGAGCCCCAAGCAGGATAAAACAAAACCACATTTAGGCACATCATAAAAAGAAAATCTTGAAAGCAACAAAAGCAAAAGACAGCATATAGGGGAACAATAAGAAAGATGGATGACTAGCCATGGGGGGAAAAAATGGAGGCCTGAGAAAAAATAGTACCACTTCTTTGAAGTGCTGTGAGGAAAGAAACTATCATTGTAGAATTATATATGCATCCAAAATGAAGGCAAAATAAAGACAGTTTCTGACAGACAGAACATTAAGAATTTTTCCCCAGCAGTCCTACATTACAAGAAATGCTCAAATTAATTTAGCCTAAGGAACTTCAGGGAAATGGCACAAGATAAAAATTCAGTTCTGCTGAAAAGTATTAAAAAAATCAGAGTGGATAATAAACATGTTGGTATAAAAAAGAAAAGACAAACACACACACACAGACACACATCCTCATATATATGTATAGACACACATATATGTAAGTAAATGTTATATTTTTAAAAAAGATTACTGATTATTGATTTCATAAATTAGAAGTTGTAGAGTATTATTGGGTTCATAGTATAGGCAGAATTAAAATATAACAAGGGCACAGAAGCAAAAGAGAGATAATTAGAAGTCTACTACTATAAGGTTCTTACATTATTTATGAAAAGGTAGATACAATGATAATTTTAAAGTTGATGTTGCATTCTCTAGGATAACTAGTAAAAATGCACACACAGAGAGGCATAATGAAAAATCAAACAGGAGATTATATGAAATACTAAAAAGATTGAAGCCACTGAAAAGTAAAGGAAGAATAAAGAATAAACAGGACCAATAGAAAACAAAACCAGTGGTAGGCTTAAACACATAAAATTATTAATTACATTATACATAAGTGAACAAAAACCCTTATAAAAAATCAAAAGACTGAATTTTTTTAAAGGCAGGACTTAATTATGTGCTGTTTATAAACAACGAAGTTTAAACATAAAGACAGGCAAAACGAAAGTGGTGAAAAAATATTTGCCATGAAAACACTAAGCAAAGGAAAGCTCATGTGGGTCTATTAATATTGAACAAGGTAGATTTCAAGATAAAGTTTATTAGCAGAAATATTTCCTAATGATAAAAGGGTCACATCATCAAGAAGATATAACAATCCTAAATGGACATGCACAAAACATTATCTCAAATATTGAATACAGTAAATAAAAATTGGCAAAACTAAAGGGAAAAAGAGATTCTTGCATCCCTAGTTTAGCAATTGATAGAGTAATATCAGAAATCAAAACAATACAGAATATTTAAGCAACACTATCAACCTACTTGATAAAGCTGACATTTAGAGAACGCTACATCCAACAACAGCAGAAAACTCATTGTTCTCAAGTACACTAGGATCATTTACTAAATAGACCGCATTTGGGGTAATGAAACAAGTCTAGTAAACTTCAAAGTACTGATAAAACACAGAGTATGTTGTAGAAAAGCAATGACAATATTACATGTAGAAAATCCCCAACCATTTGAAAAATTTAAAATGTATTTTAAGTAACACCCGAGTTGTAATTCAATACCTATGCCCTAAATCACAGGAAAAAAAATTTAAAAAGTACAATGAAAACACCAAACATCAAATCTGTGGGATGCAAGTTAAGCAGTCCTTAGAAACTTATATATTTAAAAAGTCTACATTCAACAATAACATGGAAAATTAATTCTTCCATCTTAATTAGTGACTAAATGAAAAACAAAATCCAAAGCTAGTAAAACTAAATAAAAGCAGAAACCAATGAAATGTAAAATGGACAATATGATGTATCTGAAATAAATATCAACATTGAAAACCTAGGCAAGGCTTACCAAGAATTTTTTTAATCTCCAGTATCAAGCTTGAAAAGAAGTTACCATTATAGGTCTTATAGATATGAAAATACGTGGCCATTATGAAGAAATGTATGCCAGTAGGTCAACAGCTTAGCAGAAATAAACAAATCCTTTCAAAAACCACAGTTTATCAGAACTAACAAAAGAAAAATAGAAAATTTGAATGATCTTTTACCCACAAAATAAACTGAACTTGTAATTTTTAAACTTCACACACACACACACACACACACACACACACAAGCGCGTGCGCACACATGTGCGTGTGCACACACACACAAATTCAGCCCATCATGGCTTCACTGGTAAATTCTCACAAAAATTTAAGAAAGAAATAATTCCAATATTACACAGACACGTTCAAATAACAGAGCAAAACTGAAAACTTCCCATGTCTTCTGAAGCCACCATAAGCCTGATATCAAATCCACACAAAGACATTACAAAACAATGTAATTAGACCAAAAAAAGAAATAAAAAGACATACAGAATGAAGAGAAAGAAAGCTGCCTTTATTCGCATATGATACCATTGTGTACATAAAATAATCCTGAAGAAACTACATAGAAAAAAAAAACAAATAAATGAACTTAGCAATATTGTAGGACACAAAAACCAACTGCATTTCCATGTATCCAGAGTATTTTGAAAAATGAAATCTAAA